CGTCACCGCCGCCGCCGTCACCGCCGCCCAGTCCGCCACCCTCGCCCTCACCGCCGTCACCGCCGCCGTCGCCACCGCCAAGCCCGCCGCCCAGCCCGCCGCCGACGTCGCCGCCGCCACCGTCTCCGCCGCCGCCCTCGCCGCCGCAGCCCTCGCCACCGCCACCGTCTCCGCCGCCGCCCTCGCCGCCGCCGCCCTCGCCGCCACCGTCACCACCACCCTCTCCGCCGCCCTCGCCGCCCCCACCGTCTCCTCCACCCTCGCCGCCGCCCTCGCCACCGCCACCGTCTCCACCGCCCTCTCCGTCGCCCTCACCGCCACCGCCCTCGCCGCCGCCGTCGGCCCCACCGCCCTCTGTGCCGCCGCCGCTGTCACCACCGTCGCCGCCCCCGCCCTCGCCGCCGCCGCCGTCACCGCGCCGCCGTCGCCGCCGCCTCCCTCTCCGCCGCCGCCGGCTCATCCACCGCCGCCGCCGCCGTCACCGCCGCCGCCGTCACCGCCGCCGCCGTCACCGCCGCCCAGTCCGCCACCCTCGCCCTCACCGCCGTCACCGCCGCCGTCGCCGCCGCCAAGCCCGCCGCCCAGCCCGCCGCCAACCTCGCCGCCCCCACCGTCTCCGCCGCCGCCCTCGCCGCCGCAGCCCTCGTCACCGCCGCCGCCCTCGCCGCCACTGTCGCCGCCGCCCTCGCTGCCGCCCTCGCCGCCTCCACCCTCGCGCCCGCCGCCCTCTCCGCCGCCACCCTCGCCCCCGCCGCCCTCGCCGCCGCCACCCTATCCGCCGCCCTCGCCGCCGCCACCGTCTTCGCCGCCCTCGCCGCCGCCCTCGCCGCCGCCGCCGTCTCCGCCGCCGCCCTCGCCGCCACCGCCCTCACCGCCGCCGTCGGCCCGACCGCCCTCTGTGCCGCCGCCGCTGTCACCACCCTCGCCGCCTCCACCCTCTCCGCCGCCGCCGCCGTCACCGTGCCGCCGTCGCCGCCGCCGCCCTCTCCGCCGCCGCCGGCTCATCCACCGCCGCCGCCGCCTTCACCGCCGCCGCCGTCGCCGCCGCCGCCGTCACCGCCGCCCAGTCCGCCACCCTCGCCCTCACCGCCGTCACCGCCGCCGTCGCCACCGCCGAGCCCGCCGCCCAGCCCGCCGCCGACGTCGTCGCCGCCACCGTCTCCGCCGCCGCCCTCGCCGCCGCAGCCCTCGCCACCGCCACCGTCTCCGCCGCCACCGTCGCCGCCGCCGCTGTCACCACCCTCGCCGCCCCCACCCTCTCCGCCGCCGCCGCCGTCACCGCGCCGCCGTCGCCGCCGCCGCCCTCTCCGCCGCCGCCGGCTCATCCACCGCCGCCGCCGCCTTCACCGCCGCCGCCGTCGCCGCCGCCGCCGTCACCGCCGCCTAGTCCGCCACCCTCGCCCTCACCACCGTCACTGCCGCCGTCGCCACCGCCAAGCCCGCCGCCCCGCCCGCCGCCGCCCTCGCCGCCGCCGCCGTCTCCGCCGCCGCCCTCGCCGCCACCGCCCTCACCGCCGCCGTCGGCCCGACCGCCCTCTGTGCCGCCGCCGCTGTCACCACCCTCGCCGCCCCCACCCTCCCCGCC